GACCTATGCCACCATTACCACAATTTCCAATGTCCGAGGTCATATGACCTTGCCTCTCTCTGATTCACTAACATTCCATTAGCACTTTTCCTTTGGATTGTGTGCTGTAAATCCTACCTTAATCCCTTGGTAACAACTTTGGAGTAGATTGATCTTTGCCTTTCATTGAGATAGCTTTATAAAATCCCTAAGCAGTTATATGGTAAAAAAATGTCCAGCAATGCTAATTTTAATGTACTTTCTATAGTCTTATTTCCTACAATCAAATTCTTTGACAAATAGCTTGGAAGGATTCTTCTAAGAAATAATATCTCAATCACAACTGGACCAAACAAAAAACTTCAAACCGAAAGGAAAGCAGATGCTTATTTGAAAGTTACTAATGAAGATAGCTTGTGTTATATTTGTCCAGATATTGTGAGCTTTAATAGATTAATGTTAACTATATCTAATTCTAATCATCCATTATATTTTTGACTACAGTGTTTTTCTCAGGCTTCTGCTGGTCAACACAGCAAATGCAGGAAGTATAGTGTATTAACTAGCACAGTGTACATAAGGGAGGGGAAATATTAACTCACTTTCCATATTGCTATTTAACATTAATCTTTTTAATTCAAAATAATATATTCAGCTAAAAATATACAGTCTAACAATGAAGGAATAAGAACATAATAAACATATATCCCCCTCTAGTGTGGAAGAAACTAATAATTCTGTAACTTAGGTCATTCATCACAGTGCATACCAGTGATATCATTAGAGTCTTCAGCTATTTAAACAAGAAAGGATAATGTACAAAGTTTATATGCATTTCTCCTTCCTTCCTTCCTTCCTTCCTTCCTTCCTCCTTCCTTCCTTCCTTCCCTTCCTTCCACCTTCCTTTCCTTTCCTTTCCTCTCCCTCCCTCCCTTCTCCAATTTCCAGATCACCAACTTCTATTTTATCACTTTTGAAATAAGTGAAAGTAACTAGTTTGTGAACTGCATGGAATGGAAATAGTTTTTGATTGCCATAGTAACAAAATATATCAGTGAGGAATAGAGAACTTGACTACAAAAATGTAAAGCCTTTAGGCCTAAAAGAACAGATCCTATAGATACAAAACACGAAGAAGCAATTATTTTCCAAACACGAGGGTCAATAAAATATGTACTTCTGTTTCTACTGTATTATTTTGTGCTTATTGTCATCTAATGGGTAGCATCAAGTAAATCACTTCACAAATGCTGTTGTGTTGTGCAATTTTTATTCTCTCTGGCTGTTTTCAAATGAAATGTGAAAATTCATTTTTATCAATTTTGGATTGGTTCTCTGTAATGTATCTTATATTTGACTGCTGATCTGGTGATATTTTATGTGGTTTACTGTTAGTTAGTTATTCAATTTATGTCACTGTTTATTAATCAGTGATTTTATGTTCAATACTATGTTTATACACTGTCATGACTGGTTTACCAAGTGTATCTTGCCAGAAATGTGGCAATAAACAAACAAACAATAAATAAATTATTTCACATTTTACTTAAATTAAGAGTACTAAATATGGGATGCAAAAATCCAGATCTAGATGGCAGCAAATAGATGAGACAACCTTGAAATCTTTCTGCTATCCAGATTTTGGCTACCCAGATTTGGTAAATCTAAAAGTCAGAAATCTGGCTCAAAATTAACTCCAGTCAATGTATGGTTGGCAATTTATAGACGTGTCTCAATTGTCTTGTAAAATTTAGATAAGAACGAAAGATGAAGGCATTATGTTAAGTATTTTCCAAAGAGCTTACAAAAATCCCTTATATGTATAACTGTTATGGACATGCATTCTTGGATAAGCATACTAGATTCCAGAAACATATTCTGCAAAGGTTTCTGATGGTGTGTCATATACAAACGCAAATAACAGAAATGGAGAATGAGACAATAATTGGCAATCATTCTGAGAGAAATAGTGCCATATTTAGTGCTCTTGAAATAATTGTCAGTTGAATGTTACACTTTAGAATTCACTGTTCAAAAAAAAAAGATTAACAATTTACTAGGTAACATAAATTGGTCTTTAGATGTTTCCTGAATTATACATTGGAAACAAGGAAATGGCAACCATAGAATTATGTGAATATTAGAAATTAATGGGTTAACTGCATTTTTTCGATGCCCTGCATTATCTGTTTCTCAAGACTGAACTTTATGGGTACAGAAATTCAGAACTGTACACATTCTTTCTGTATGCTGTCAAAGTACAGTATGTGGGTTGTAGCATAACACATGGAACTATAACAGATGCCAGGGACTACATATATCAAAGTATCCCCTTATTTATTTTTAAAAGCCACCCAAACCTATCATAACAGGGAGAATGCTAGATGAGAAATCTCTTTGTCAGGCTAGGTTTAACATCTAGGAAAACTTCATTGGCAGAATGAATATAATGGCTGAGCGCAATAAACTGTGATTTTGTTTACTGTTGGTTGGACAAGCTGTTTGAGTGCTTACTGGACAATTCATAGTTAAATAAATCATGGCGTAATGCACTGTGTGAACCTAGCTAATATGTATGTATACATTTTAAATTACTTTATGATAGGTAGTACAGCAAGATACCAAGCAGACATTTTATGGCTCATCTTAAAAAGGACAAGCTGCCTGACCACTTTTGAAGAGAAAAAAATAAAACTAAGGAAAGTGGGGTTTAAAAGAGTCCATAGGTTAAAATTACTTTGTGTGTCATCGTTTTTGAGAGCATATAAGCCATCATAATTAGGGACTCCAGTTTTCAGCCAACATGCATGTAGGATGGAAATAGTTCACCATACCAATACTTTTATGTCTAGTCAAAGACATGGTAAGTGTTCTTACATGCATTCCCATTACTGTATAAAAATGGAAGGAATAGAAGGAACATGATCAGAAAAAAGAAGCACTTTAAAAATAATATTGATTTAAATTTGAGAAAGGATGTCTGCACCCTTTCTCGCTCTGATGTACCTTTGTTTTACTGTTCCTGAAAGAAAATGAGAAATCCTCATTTTGGAAAATAAAACAAAACAAGATACCTTAGAATTTATTTGGGGAAATCATCATGGTGAAAGAGATGAACCTCTTCCTGCCTAGCCCATTTGTCAAGTTAAAGAAATAAAATCATGCATTCATAAAGCATCCTCCTCTTCAGAGAACCTGAAAAAAAATATTTTCCAAACTCTTAACACCCTGGCCACAGGGGGATATTTTTCTCTCAAATGTCATTTTAACCCTTTGCTTTATTGTTTGTCCTAATCCCAGAGGATGGCTTGAGTCATTGTTTCCTTTGCTACAGTATGTTCTGTTTAAATTAATGTTGTTCTAAAATGTGCTTGCAGATTTCCGCCCCCCCCCCCTTCTACCTCTCTTATTTTTGGAATGTTTTACAATTTCTTTGATATTTCACCTGGTGATGTTACTGAACTTTATAGCTGGAGGATGGTATTGCTCTTGATGTTTTCTCGTCTAATACATCTTTTCTTTCCTCTCAAGCCTGGGTGGGGCACATTTCCCAATCTGGGGGAGGGGGAATAACCCACTGGGAAAAATAATGGCTTCCTTTAATGGTAGCCTGGTCAGTCTTGAGTATCACTGGAGAGATGATTTGAAACACAAGACTTCTTGGCCATCTCATGACCTTTTGTGGAAGAAAGTTCAAACACAGATTTGACTTCATCAGACTGAATGAAAAGAGGCAGAAAAATATACAGACTTCTTTCCTGAAGGGAACGCTTTTTCACCTGGCAGCGATCCTGCCGGTTTGCCCCAAAAATAAGTTTTCTGACTTCAAAGGTGACTTCTTTTCCCCCCCTTCTGATTCTGTAGGAGCCGAGAACTCGACTGTATCTTTTATTCGGACCCAACTCCCCCCACCCCCACCCCACTGGTGCCTTTCTGAGCTCTTTTCTGCAGAAATGAGTGAAAGAAAGGCGGGCGGTTTCACAGACCACGTAGGCAGCGGTGGAAACGAAGGTCTAATGTTTGTTTATTCCTGGGAGGTACGGCGTCCAAGGCGTGTGCAAACCCAGGGGATCCGTTATTTCGCCCAGGCTCCGAATCGGGACAGTAAGTGAATGTTCTAGGAGACACAGACCTGCAGCCCGCTCCCTTCCAGCGTGCTCAACCTTCCGCGCCAGCCCACCTCTTTCCTCCTCTCCTCCTGCTGGTCAGGGCTGGGCTGGGCTGGGCCGGGCCGGGCCGGGCTGGCCTTGCTTAGAGCGGAGACTATGCCATCCCCACGCCAGCGACCCCTCCTCTCCTTCCTGTTGGGATCCAGGAGGAGCTTTTAAGGGCAGCAGTCTCCTTTAAGATTTCTCCGAGGAGGCTGACTCGAGAGGAGGAGTTAACGGAGATCTGCAGATGTACATTCTCGAGTGGAGGAGAGAAGGAAAAAGCACCAGAAGCGGAGAGGCTGAAGCGCTGGGAAGTGGCGGCCCAGCATCCAAGGCCTTGGCGGCAGCAGAAAAAAGGAGGAGCAACAGCAGCAGCAGCAGCAGAAAAAAGACAACACAACACACACGCACACACGAACACACACCGGAGCAGCAGCGGCGGCGGCGGCTGCTGCCGCTGGGCGAACCGGGCGTCTCGCAGGAGTCGCACCTCCGCTCGTGCGCCCAGACGGGACAAGCGAGGAAGATGAAGGAGAGCTGACCCTACTAAAAAGCTGCCGCCACTTTGCGCTTGGAAGTAAAGGGTCGAGTCCCCCCTTCTCCTCCTCTCCTCCCCCATATTCCCACCTTCGTGGGTGAAAACCTGCATCCAACCGTCCCTCGCCAGTTTTGGGCTTTATTGTTATTGTTATTACTATTCTTTTTTTTTTTTTTTAGCACAACAAAACGTCGCGTGTGCGCGTTCTGTTTTTGTTTGGGTATCCGAAAGGGGGGGAAGGAGGAGGAAGAGGAGGGGGAGGGAGGGAGAAAGCAGCGGCCGGCGGAAAGGAGCTTTCTCTCTTCCTTCTCCATTGAAGCCCATAATCCACTATGATCTTACTCGCCTTCAGCACTGCAAGTCGGGGGGATTTCGTGCATCAATCCAGGGTCCTCTTCTTGCAAGCCTTGCTTTGGATTTTATGTGCCACCGGATGCCGAGCGGAGCAGTATTTTAATGTGGAGGTAAGGTCGGGGCGGTGTGCCTGCTTGTGTTTCCTTTCTTCCGGCGTTGCTGCGTGCGTAGCTTCGGTGCAAACGAGCTAGCCAGTCCTTGCTTCCCAGAGACGGAGCAGCCAAGGACGCTTTCCCTTTCCTAGTCCCTGAGAGTTTCCCGGCTCCCAGCTCCTTACTCAGCTAGGCGATCCCGTTATCCCCGGCGGCAGAGGGCCGAGATGCCGGGCGCGCTCTAAGCGCACCATTGTGCCCAGCGAGGTGGGAGTGGGGAACGGCGCGCTCACTCGGGCGCAGCCGACTTGACTGGCGGCGGCGTAAAAGGGACCGGTGGACGTCCGCCACTGGGCTCGTCGCGACCCGAGTACATAAAGGAATTCAGGATTTTCATACTGCTGACTCTCCCTCGGACTGGTCCCTTTGCAAAAAGAAAAAAAAAAGGCAAACGGTCGGGGGCGAACAAACTGGAGAGGAAATTGCCATTGTTTCAGTAGAGCCAGGCTTCTTTTGTCACGGGAAAGCCCTTCGCTGCCTGGGGCGGCTGCTAAACTTGGACTGAAGCAAACCTTTTTCTTTCTTTCAGGCCACTACAAACTTGGGGATCGAAGAGGTGGAGTTAGCTAAAACGCGGAAAGATGAAGCAGATGTAGACTTGTTTCCACCACTTTTCAGTGGTGTTTTGCGTTCTCAGCCTTAGTCTTAAGATTTCTTGATTTGGTTGTGCTGTCTATTGGACTAGGATTTTTTTTATTGCAAGTCTTTTCAAAAAAGAAGCCCCACTTAGCTTTGTAGAATGATTTCTCAGGCACAGTGTAGGCTTCATTTGCTTTAGATTTTCATCCCTCATTAACTTAATATGGTTTGTTTTACCCTTCCCTGCCTTACTTTTGTTATTTACTCTGCGCAGTTAAGTTTAAAATATTTTCACCTTATCTCCCCTGAAGTTGGGTCCATTTCCAGTGGCAACTAGCTAATTATATGTGATGGCTCTGCATTGACTCAATTCCTTTAGTTCCTACCATCCTAACTACATCTTTCATCTTTTCCAGCCACTGTTCTTGGCAGAGAAGTTCAAGGAGGCTCCACATCCTTCATAGCCTCTATTTCTGTCTGAGACTCACTTCTGTTTCACATTTCATACCCACAATTACTTATTTTTTGACCCCAAAGCACTTTAAAACCTAAAATTACTCTTTTGCATATCTGATATCTGTTCCCACCCTTACTTATTGCTTTAGCTTTCACAATCTCATACTTCTTAAAGCAAAAAGGACAATGCAGTTACATGTGATGAACTATTTTTACCATTTATCATCACCCCTATTTTATAAAGCATATGTTTTTCTTCAATTTCTGATCTTGGTTATGATATTTAACAATATGTCTTGGTGGTTTTGATGAGATTTTCTTGTATACTTTTGGGATATTTTTTTTTGTATTGATTATTTTCACCTTTCTTCCCCACCCACTCTAATATGATCTCATAAGGTGAAGCAGCAAACTATTTGGAACAGAAAATACAGTGGCAGATACCTTTTGGATTAATTGTGCTCATCGTTATCAGGATTGACACTAGTTAGCCAAACGTCCTCTTGATACTTTTCTTTACTCTTGTTCTTCCAATAAGAAGCAGAGGAGAGTTCTAGGTAGGGGGAAAAGACTCCAATAAGGTCTTGCTGTAGCAGCACTTTCATGGAGGAAAGCCCTTCTAAATCTAGAGGTTTTCTCTCTTAACATTGAAGTTGCTGGCCAACAGCCTGCTCTGCAGGAAATAGGCCAGCAGCAGATGGTGCTAGGACATGAGAAGTGAAACTAGTCTAATCTGTTTGGAACATAGGAAGAGGCCAGCATAATAAATGAGAAGGAAAAGGAAGAAAGTCAACATAGGGATAGAATGCAAAAAGAAGTGAAGCTGGAGAAGTTTTCTGACTGTGTTTTGCTTAATACTGGCATACTTATCAAAATTGTGTATAAATGAAATTCAGAATTCATAAACCTCAAAGAGTAATGTGGACTTTTGCATAATAATATCAATAATAATATCAATAATAAAGTAAAGCAATGCAGATATGAAAAAGCATTTCCAATTCCTAGATGTCAGTACGACTAGAGTCTCCTGGGGACCTGGTGGTTGGGATTTATTCAGTTTTAATCTCCCTATTGTTCTGTTAGAGCAGATAGTGATGTTTTACCCATCTTCTGCCTCTACAAAATCAACCAGGTCTCTGTTACTGTGCTGCAAGTACATTAATTTTCATTTATGCTTCAGTAAGACTGAGAGCTTTTCAGTTGCAATTTGTCATAAACTGGAGTTGCTATGTCACAATGGCAAAGGGAATGTGAGGCTAAGAACTTGGCAGTGTTATGGTGACACTCTGCCATGTATTTCTCTGTGTCAGCACCAGACCCATAAAACACTTACCAGGGACAGTAAATTACTTAAAAAACATCCATACTTGAGCACAGCAAGTTTTGTTCCAGGAGCAATTTAAGTTAATACAAAAATGAGACAATTGCTATCCACTGAAATCCTCTGGGGTTGGCATTATAGCTGCTGAATGCATAGTATAGATAAATGGATTTTAATCTGATTGTGGCCAGTCTTTGGCATAAATCTAAATTATTTATACTGATGCTTGAACTTTTTTTGCAGTGCTTAAAAATACCAAAACTGCACGTGCATGGCAGTTGCTTGACGTTTTGTAAGCTACATAGTTTTAATACAACTTTAAGAAAAGACATCAGAAATTGTGTGCAACACACATTATTTGAATTTCTTTGTCATGGAAAGCAAACATTGTATCTGCAGATTAGGTTGGGAGAGGGTTTACATGTCCAGTGTTTCCTTTGCAGTCCCCATCCCATTGCTATCCAGAGATTCCTGAATTGGATGAGATATGATGAAAGATTCAGAGAAGGAATCTTTTGTGACTGAAGCTCTGCCCAGAGCTTATTGATTTATAGGCTTTTACTCTTACAATCCAAACTTTGATCATTTTGCTAGCATAGAATTTTAACCTATCTAGAGATCTGCTTTACTGGATAAATCAAAATGAAACATTCTGTATGTTTCTTTCTGTGTTGTATCTGCATAGCATATTTATTTATTTATTTATTAAATTTATATGCCTCTCATCTCATTCTGCGAAGCAACTATAAGTATATAGCTAAATAAGAACACAAAGAATATATATATTGGGACCCAGGAAATCACTGAGATATTTTGAAGGGACAAATCTCTATGAATTGCCAGATAAAAACTTAGTTTCTGCAAACAGAGTGCCATATAGTTGGAAGGTAATCTAAATAAATCTAAATCCCACAAACATTGTGGAAGTTTTGTAAGTAAATATAGCTGCTTTAATATTGGTTATCATCTAATATTAAAAGTATTGAGATATTAGTTTGCTTTCCCATAAGTGCAACTCTCCATTTACAGTATTTAGAAGCATTAGATCTACATGCCATGTGTCAAAGTCTACTGTCTTGGAATTCATCAGCAAATCTGTTTTGTGCGCATAATAGCCACATGGTATATCAAAGCTGCAACAAAGTTCTGTTTACTTTAGGCACATGGTATTGTTTTTTCATTTGGAATAATTTGTGCTCTCAACTGGATGATTAAGACACTGATAAGTATATCTGGATGTTTATTTCACTTGGATGTTTAGTTCACCTGTTTGCCTGAATATAACTGCAATGGCATGAGACCTGATATCCCATAATAGACTGGGATTTCAGAGTATTAATTGTACTACTCTGTTAGAGCAAAGAAGGTCAAAAGTCCCATGTCAGTTTAAGAAGTAATTCATGGGTTTTAACAATTGCCCCAAATGTTCAGGAACATATCTGTGTTCATTCTTATAGATCAGTATATCTTGTTCTTTTTAAAAAAATATACTTTACCTCTGCTGTTCATGAATAATTCAGCAGAAGTAAGTATGCTTAGAATGTAGAAGGTTTTAGATTCAATAGTTGGTATCTCTAGGTACAGTTTGAAAAACTTCTTCCTGCAGTTCCAGAAGCTTCAGATAGTCAGTGTTGAAAATGCTGGGACAAGTGGCTTAGTTGAGTAATGGTCTGAACTAGTATTGACAGTTTCCTTCAATTCTCTGTTCTTGTTAATGCTAAAATAATATATTGAAGTGCTGGTTTCTTTTACAAGATTACACATAAATCCACATTGGTTACTAGTTTGTTAACAATTCATGACTTTAAAGAAATCAATTTTAATACAATGTTCTTGTGTCGAGATAATGCCTATGGAATACAAGGGATCATGTGATCAGTCCCTTGCAAGACTTTTGCTTTTATCACAGTATTATAAGTATGAGAAACCATGTCTATAAAGTACAAGTTCTAAAAAAATCCGAATTCTGTGAATGAAGCTATTACCGCTTTGCAAAACAACTGAAAGAGGTGTTTCCAAATGAAACACCTCTTGTTGAAGCGTGTAAGCAACTACAAGGCTCCTATGCCTGCTTTGGAAATGTTTTCTTGCTGCATGGTGTGCTTGTGCTCCAGCAGAAGTGTTGTACGCAGAAGTGCTGTCTCTCTTTGAGGGTGATGGGCAGTTCAGAAGTGGAAAATTAATAAAATAAAATAAATAATTGCATATGCAAACAGTTGGGAACAGTTGGACTATCTGTAGGGCTCTTGCAAAGGATGGCCTGCTTTTCAGGTATTCCTCAATTTACAACAGTTTGTTTAGTGACTGTTCAAGCTTACAATGGCACTGACAAAAGTGACTTATGACTTTTCACACTTATAGTTGCAGCATTCTCACGACTACATGATCAAATTTCAGACAACTGACTCGTATTTATGACGGTTGCTGTGTCCCAGGGTCAAATCATCATCTTTTGCAACCTTCTGACAAGCAAAGTCAGTGGAGTTACTAACGTAAGAGCTACAGTGATTCACTTTACAACTGTGGTCATAAGTCAAGGACTACCTGTAGTGCCAGTTTTGAATCAAGAAAGGACTTCTTCCAATTTACTTGCACAGTTCTA